CGACCATCCAGGCATATTATGATGGTTCCAAGAGCATGCGAGTGATTCCATTGCAGTTTAATTGCTGTGGAATACACGGACACGGAGACTACAATGGCACCGCTTGGTGGAGAGACGCGCAAATTTCGGGCAACAGAAGACAGGTCCCTCTCACATGCTGCGTTCTAAAAAATACCGAGGTACGCATCAAAACCCGTGTTACATAGCTTTCATACGGAGGGAGCACTGCTGTAATTGTTACAAAGAACGAGAGCAAATGGGCAACCGTGTTAGAGGATTTAATTGCATTTTTGTTTTACGTCTCACTAACCGCAGTTTTAAAAGATACGAAACGTGAGTACATCGCTTGAATACTTTCAGTTGCTCTGAAAGACGCTTACCACGTTACGTGTCCAAAGGAATACAAATATTCCGGCAAGATTTTAAATGGAAATAAAAATTGATAAGTAATTGAGACACTGTGTCAAATGATATACTTGTTTCACTTGTGCTAATCATTGTGGATCATTGGCAGCCCGCTGAAACGTGGCGAAATACAAAATTGCGAAAGGATCGTTGTTTTAATTTTCCATTGTTCTCGATACATTGTAGAAACATATACGTATTATACACTACCGGCCAAAAGTTTCGGATCACTGTGCATTGCAAGTTACATAAAAATTTGCAGAAAATCTTTCTAACGAATTCTTTGTAATTTAAATTAATCGAAATGGGGCAAATTGCTATTGATCTCTACAACATCATTTCAGATCTATAAAAAGTTAGACGTAGATTCAATGTCGGTGTAAATTGACGAGTGATTCCAAATTTTTGGCCGGCAGCGTATATACAAAGCGAACAAACAGGAAACAACTCATACATAATGTGCGTTATGAATTTCAATTAGTTGATGGAAATTGGAGAATAAAAGAAACCAGAAGTTTCGATTTATTTATTTTACAATCTGTTCGACGAAGGAATAAACGAAAGATCTAATTAAATAAAAATTATTACAAATCACACTTTTCCAATCGCTCTTCTATATCCTTGGTTAAATTTGTTTCTCGTCAAACGGTGAAAAAAAAATCAATTTCCGGAAATGACATTTGCATCGTGTTGCAGGCAAAAAATACAGGAAGTCCAATGAGCGTGGTGTCAAGAGTGTTTCATAAACATGTAAGTGATTGAATAATCGTGGAAATTAGTCTGTGCTATAATCGATCAAATTTCATTTCCCGTGAAAGACTGAGAAACCGTGGCTAAATCCGAAACCGAAAGATGAAACAGCTTGTCAAGTTGAGGACAGAGAGGGCCACGAAGGATATCGGCATAGAGAGGTAAAAATTTCATTCTACCACGTAATTATTACACAGAGACTACAGATTTTCCTTGCCTTAACAAGTTCAAATTTTAAACATAAATATATCTATCGATGAAACAACTTTTATTCTCGTAACTATAGCACAATTAAAAGTAAAAACGACACTTTCTCTATTGTTTTTCTAATTATTCACAAACTTGTTTCAATTAGTTACACGATACACCGGTTTATGTTTTCCATTGAATTTTATCTCTCGGGTCTCTCGCGTTACTTTAATTCGAGAACAAACTTAGTAAATGTGAGATAAATACCAAGAGATCGTTAATAATGGAAAAATACTCATTCGAGGATTGCGTAATTGAGGGATTATGCAAAGTGGCAAAGAATCAATTTAACGAATTGCATAATGAGGGTTTGAACTGGAGGTCTCTATTTGCCAAGTGACTTGTTTTAACTAATCGAGGGGAGGTTGTCGCTTTTAGAGTATTTCAAAAATCTACTTTTCTCAATCATTCCACTTTAATGTTTATTATTTGAAAAGTGTGCTCTCCAAGTGTTTCTTAAAATTAAAATAACATCGTTACGGAGGTCCTAGAGACGTTCAAATTTCAATTTCGAACTTTAAAAACTGTCGAGCAAATCGACGAAAAATTTCAGAACGTAATAAACCGATTAATTTCAAATTCGGACAAACTTAGAAATTTAGACAAGCGAAGTAAGATCGAAACACTAACAATCAATTATTATTCCACGGCCTATAAAACGGATTTATAAGACATTTCACAGTTCACTCGAAACGATCTAATGTTTATAGGGTTGTCTCACCAAAATCACAAGTTGGTTACAGTGCGAAAGCTTCACTCTGGTAATTCTGGGCATGGCAATGGCTGGCATACAGGTAAAATTTCCACAAACTACGTACCCGCAATCTCAAACCATTCCAATCTAATCATCTATGTATGTTCCAGACATTCGGTATAATAACCTCGGCTTTCCTTTGTCGAACGATAAGAGACATGCACGTGGATTGAAACGGCTGTACCGGAAAAGGGCAGAGAGCGGAAAAGGAAAAGCAATTTCAAGTTCCCGTTGGGTTGTTGTGAGGAAATCAAACGCTATTATTTTGACGTTTCATTCGTTTGCTTCGGACGAATCTTCGAAATGAGAAACATTCGATCGAGGGAACAACGATACACGTGATAATAACTGGGACATTTAACAGAAAAAAAAAAAACAGATTCGGGCATTCTCGCGAATCCACGTCACAGAGAGAGAGAGAGAGAAAGATTCACTTTTTTTTTGATTTTTTAAAAATAATACTCGACAATTGATCATTTCACCTGTAAGATAAGAATGGCTGGGCTTGCTCGAAACCTTCCAAACCATTCCCGTCCCTTATATGTGGTTTCATTGTGTAATATAAACGGGATATCGTACCAAAAACTCAAAGGAACATCTATACAACTCTGTACACAAAACTCTGTTATATTTCTTTCTATTCACTCCAAATGGGAAACAAACGAAATGTTCATCATTTTGGAGCTCGTAATTTATCATTTTTGAATATATATATATACACATTTGAAGGTCGTGGAAGATATTCTTCTTGTGAGCAACGTACCAAAAGAAAAGAAAAAAAATCGTAAATTTTCAGTTATGGAACGATTTGTAAATATACATATACGTGCAACGACGAATAGAAGGTATGGAGAGCGAGAGAGAGAGAGAGAGAGAGAATGTTCGTGAAGTATAATAAATGAAATGAACGGGACTATCATTCACTTGACACGCGACACGGTATAATTTTTCATACGACCTCATGATTTATACATCGCCAAGTGCGTGCACGCGCTCGAAACAAACCTTTTGTGACGTTTTATTCACAAAGAACAAAAATAAAGAATATCGTCGAAGAGTGAGTATATGCAATATCAATTATAATACGCGTGCGATAGAAATTCTCGTAGCGTGCGTAACTGTCGTTGGAAATAAGAAAATGGATGTACAATATCCAGAAAAAGTAATAAAAGAAAGAGAAGAGAAAATGAAAAAAAAAACAAACAAACAAAACATGATAACACACTCTCCGCCATAGTATTTTCAGTACCAATAAGAAAAGCGTTCTTATGTTCGTGGATAACGATGAAAGAAAAGAAAAAAAAATGAAAACAAATCCGTTACAATAACTCGTGCCAAATAGATAATATACCTTGCGATGAGCGAATTTAACTTTGTTATATATTTATTTTCTGATAAAATTTGTTGAGAAATGTTTGGCGTGTTCGTAAAATATAGTGGGAAAACAATAAAACCATTACTCTCTACACATGTGATACATTTTATTCCCATATTCACTTCACCGTTTCGATAATAAATACAAATGAATACGGTACAGAAAGAAAAGAATTTCTTCCGTTTCTGCGATCTCTGTATTATCCGATAAAAGTGAAACATTCGCGATTAGTACGATACTTTTTTATCGCATTACGATTACGTACGAATAAACATTACGGTAGAGGAGGAGAATTATATGACTTTTCGGTTAATTTTCATAGAAATAATTATTTCATATACACGTGTTACAGATTTATACGAAAGAAACGATCATATACAATTGGATGTTCTTAAAATCAATAAAATGACCGGTGTTACGCGTAGAAATATACGCTACGTTCGTTTACCTTTTGCACAGGTCTGCAGTTCGATAGAATAGGACCAGTTGGTGAACAAATTTTTCGAAATTGTGCAACCTGTTAGAAAAATTGATACCAACAAGATGGATAAAGCAGTTGTTTGATTAATTAACCGTTGTAAAATGACACTTTATTACTTGGGATGAAGATATAGCTATTGGTTCGGGTTGCACGATCCATGTGACTATTTCACTGCAAGGTGGTTGGGTAAGGGAGCCATTGTACGTGTAATAATTCTTGTCCGAAGTGGGAAAGATCCATACTAGAGGAAAGGGTGGAATGTGTACTTTTGCCCCTGGCTGAATAATACGCCATAGATTTGTCACGATATGGTCCAAATAAGGATTGTCCACGTTTGTGATCTATAAATATGCGAGCACATGATCAATTTTTTCATTTTTTCTAATTTCATTCAATACTGTATATTATTCGTTTTCCTATATTTTTAAAATAAGGTGTAGTAAGTATTTACTAGGTAAATTAAATTGTTTCTTTGAAAATTTTTATATTTCGATGTGCCCATGCCATAACCACGTGAAATGTGAAAAATGTTTAACAGTAGGAGAAATTTTTAAATATAAGAATATATAAGATTTTAAAAAATATGGATCACCTACTTTGATACCTTAATCAAACTGCTCACGATAACAAAAATACACACAGATACGCGATTTTTTGTGGATGAATTTTACGACCTACATTTGATAATCATTTTTTCCTGAATATAACAACAATACACGACAAATTTCGATAAAATCTGACCTGAAGGAGGAAGGACACAATCACTATAGCATCGTTCTGTTTAGCAGCGAATGCGTCCGATAGCGAACTAAAGTCTCGTTTTATGTGCCACACTTGAACCTCCATAGGGTATCGATTATAATCTAAAGTATGTTCGCTGCCTTCCTCGTTCGACTGCCCCCAATGAAATACCATTGAGCAAAGGTCGTAAATATTGGTCAAGCATCCACTTTGAATATATGGCCGACTCAAGTTACTCCATACTGAATTTACTATCACTGGAAATTAAACGACGCCTAATAAAAACGTAAATAAAGAGCACTATATACGTATTATCAGATTATAAGATTATAAGAAATCCAACTTAATTTCCAAAATTAAAAAGAAAATTCAGATTTAAACAGAGAACGAAGATAAATGACAGAAAAAAGTGATTCAGAAACGTTCAAGAATAATTATGCAACTGAAATAATTCTGAAAATGAATTCAATTTCCAAAATTAAAAAGAAAATTCAGATTTAAGCAGAGAACGAAGGTAAATGACGACAGAAAAAAGTGATTCGGAAACGTTCAAGAATAATTATGCAAATGAATTCAGTTTTCGTAATTTCTAAAAAAATTCAGATGTAAGTAGGAAATCAGATCTTCCGACTGGTAACTTTCAATAATGTAAATAGTTAATCATTTTGACAATTGCACCGTTATTTCCATTATTGGCTACAGTCATCAGCAGCGGTTTCTTCTTGTAGCCAATCCATCGAAGAGGTTTAGAAGGTTGCACCACAATGGCGAGTCGTGTGGTAATGTTGATTGGCGACTGATTTATGCCATTGCTATCAGGGTATAGTATTCTCCATGTATGAGGTCCATTTCGATCGGTATAACCAAATGTGAACGGGGGAAAATTGCATACGTTCTCCACCAAAGGAAATAATTGAGTCCAATCGAGAACTTCAGTCAGTAGTAAAACTATAATAACGCAGGCCACGACACCGAATTATGCAATACAGTATAATAATTACTAAATAATATATCACGTCGATAGTCTTCGAAGACTAATTATTCGACTAAATAAATATTGTAATTTTATCGATTTATTTTATATAGTTAATTTTATTTTTGATGTTAGAACGTTGTTAGAAATGTTAGACTTACAAACAAGAAGGATACTGCTGCATACAATCATAAATTCTGATATCGAGATACTTATCATTTTCAATAGTGATTTTACAGAATTTTAAGGGTGATATGGGCTACGCAAAGCTTGCGAATATACTCGTTTCGATGCATGCATACAATAATTGCACTTGCAAATTTTACGAAGACTTCGAACTAACCTCCTGGCTAGCCAGTGTAAATTAATATAAACAACGAGATGGGAATTTGCATCTATTCGAATGCAACTTCAAAGGACAAACGCGATTTAATTGTTCATTTTTCTATGCAATTCCGTTAAATCGATCTTGTTTCTTTTATTTTTTTTTCGTTTGACGTTTATCGAAATCAAATTATTAATACCTAAAATAAAAATGCACGCGGTAATAATTGTGCAGATTTAATGTAATATCTAGATGAGGGAAATGATATAAGATAAAATGCAGTGTGCAGGTGAGAATTATTTTTATATTAGAGTATTACTTAACTAAGTATTGTTTAATTGAAATTAGAGAAGTAGAATAGAATTCTCCATCATTGTGAGAATTATTTTTTTAATTTGGAAGTGAAGCTAGAGAAATGGTAAGGTTGAATCGTCACTTTAATACTGTTTTCTAAGGCGATGGTCGAAAATGGGGTCAGTCCCCAGTCGATGTCGACGAAAGCAGTGCCATCGGAATAAAGTTTCCTGCACTTATTATGAGTGGTCACTGGAGTCAGGATGGCGAAGCTAAAATGCGAAATACTGGCAGCACAGGTTACTGAATATTTTTCGAAAAATTATAAAGTTCTCCCATTCATTTTAAACTTTCGCAAATTTAAATGTATGGAAGTTTGAAAATTTAAATATATGAAAGTTTGAAAATTTTAATATTTAAATGTTTGAACATTCGAAAAGTTGAAAATTAAAATACTTAAGTATTGGAAAATTTCAATATTTGAAAGACTGAAAATTAAAATACTCAAGTATTTGAAAATTTTAATATCTGAAAAATTCGGAAAAGTGAGAATTGAAGTACTGAAAATATCTGAAAATTAAAATATTGGAAAATTTGAAAACTGAACTATTTCAAAGTTGGAAAATTTAAATACTTGAAAATTTGAAGGTGAAACGCGTTAATGCGCAAAAATCATGTCTGGTCGACGCAAACAGCAAAAATACAAAATTTACTTTGTAACTTACTAACTAGTTCGCATAACACTGGAGGGAAATAGGAGTCCGGCAACGATTCGCGGCGGTCCATTGGGGAATGACGTATACGAACTATCAGAAGTGGTATTTCGATGGGGTCCAACCAACTGTAAGGGCGCAGAGCATACACTGAATGGCACTTGGTTCACAATGGAAGCACAAGCGATACATTTCAATAAAAGATACGAGAATATTGAGAACTGTTGGGACAAACCTGACGGTTTGGCGATTTGTGCGTATTTTCTACAGGCTTATCAAGTTCCAACCTGGGACGAGCATCCCCTGTTCTCCAAAATCTCCGACGATTTGCACAAAATTACTCAACCTGATTCGTCCACAAAATTACCACCAAGTACCCTAAATGACATCTTTTACTTTTCTTTGAAAAAATGCTATCTTTCCCCTTAAGTATATCAGCTTCTATATTGAATCTCCAATTTTTTCAAGTCTCTTTTTATTTTTACAAAATACTAATTGTTGTTCCCTCGTTTCAATCGTAGATTGTTTGTGTTGGATGAGGCAGGCTTGTCAAACGCCTGGTTACTATACCTATTTAGGCTCAACCACAACCTTTCCATTCCACGAATGCGTCACATGGATTGTTTTCCCAGAACCTGTCCGAATTTCCGAAAACCAGGCAGAATCATTTCGAATGTTGTGCAACAAGCGAGAAATGTGTTTGAAAGAAAATTATCGAGAAGTGCAGAATTTAAACGGTCGAGTAGTTTATTACGTCAACTAAATTATATTCGTCGTTAATGAGAAATATTGAAAATGTTAAAAAGTGTACGTCCTAAATATTAACATATCGTCTATTGATTTCTAATCAAAATTTAATGTATCAATAGTATAAGGAAATACATAACTTATCTGTATAGATTGAAAAAACAACGTGTGCTTTTGAAAATTATTCACTCACCTTGTTAAATAAGTACGATATGCGACGAACTTCATTGCAAATAGTTGAAACATGTAGCTGACAGTGTAATTAATTTATGTCTCGATTACTTTATCATACATTTCTGATGTTCTACAGAAAATTAATGTAAAATTTAACACAACAATAATGCCAGTTAAGAGAGAGAAGAAAGCAGGTAAGTAAATTATTTGCAAGTTAACTTGAAATGATTGAATAACTCTTGAACGAATTAATTTCTCAAGTAACAAAGAGTTCTATCTTACTAACGTCGTCATCTGGATTACCTAAATGGCGACAATCGCCCATTGATATAACCAAAACAGCTACGTGGAGTAAAAAATTTCCACCCTTATATTTGACGAATTACTGGTCGCAGGATGGCATTGCTACATTGACAAATACAGGCAAAACAGGTGATTTCCGTAACATTTAATTCATTATCAACCTTAAAAAGTTTCCTATTTCTTATGATAATTTTTACAATTTTATTAAGACTTCTTGCGCAATTTATATTTTTTATTATGTAACACATAATTAGGCCACTGCTTCAATTTTTTTTCAAACTAAATTATACGAAAATTACATTTTCCTCAAATATACGTACACGAGTTCATCATCACTCCAGCTATTTTTATTGCTTAAAAATATGAGTTTATTGGTTGCGTTGGGTTCCGCGGAAGACGCGCAATCACGTTGCTTTAGGACGAGACTTTATTCTGTTGGATCAACGTTCGGTCTATTACTACTGTTTACGTCCTATGATATCCATCCTTCTCAAAGGGTTAAAAACGTTTCTTCTCCAGTCAACGTTGAATTTTCGGATAGAACTCTACCTTCGATGCGCGGTGGTCCTTTAAACGAAGATGAATTTCAATTCATGAACGTGCAATTCCGCTGGGGCCCCGAAAATTCGCTGGGCGCAGAACATTCCATAGACGGTATCTGGTCAGAATATGTCCCTTTAAATTAGCTATATATTACACTTCTTGCTCATCCTCGTAATAACTATACTCCACGTAAACTATTAAATAGGTACTCCATGGAAACGCAGGTAATGCATTGGAACACTCGTTACGGATCGATAGAGAGGTGCTTTGACAAATCAGATGGAATCGCGATACTCTCGTATCTCATGCAAGTACGAATACGAGTTATAATGAACGAATAGTTCATTTATGTGTTACACGCGTGTATTTGGAATAGGTGGTCGGTTGTCCGGGAATTCCTGATAATCCTTCTCTTGCGCCAATTATCGATAATTTGGGGAGAATTAAGAAAATGGGTAGCAGTACCACAATTCCATCTAGTAAGAAAATTTTATGGAGCTAATTCATTGTTTTTTCACTGATAATTACTTAACCCTTTGTGTAAACTTTCTAATATTGTAAATTATTTGTTATTATTACTTTGTTTAAAAACAGATACAATTGTTAAAAATCAATTTGTATAAATTTTTAAAATATTTAAAGTATATGTAATTTTGAAATTATTAACTTTTAACATATTTTGTAATATTGTTTCTTAACAGATTGTCTACTTTGGATGTTAGAATCGTGCACAAGTCACGGTTACTATACTTATCCAGGCTCACTCACTGTTCCTCCATACAGCGAATGTGTTTTATGGATCATTCCGTCCACTATAACCAAAATATCTGTTCGTCAGGTAATTTTATAAAAGATTAATATAACATGAAAAATTATATCTTCTATTATTTCGAAAAATAGATTGATGCATTCAGGAATCTTTACGACGATAGATGGAATAACATACTGGGAAATTCTAGACAGCAACAACGTCTTCATAGAAGAAGAATTTTATATGCTACAGATAATGCTGTAGCATGAAGAAACAGAAACTTTATTTTTATTAAATAATATTATGTAAATATCTGTTACACGAAAAATTTAAAAGCAATATATTAATATAACTTGTGTATGTGTTTTTCGTGAAATTTGAACTAATCCAAACTAAATTAATCATAGAAATAGCAGAATACGATAAATATTAAATTCATTGTTCTGTCAAATAGTAATATTTTAATACATTAAAAACAAATTAATATTAAAACATATTAAAGCTAAACTATGTTAATAAAATGAAGCTTTTTGCTATTTTTATTTCTACAAATACATACTGAATATTTAAAGAAACATATTTCTTTCGCAATCTTTAAATAAATATTCAAAAATTACTCGTTTACTTGTTTGTCAATATGTCACACAGAAACGTTACCATCAACTATGACACACGTAATAAAACCTTCAGCATGATATCCACAAAAAAAAAGTAAATTACCAAATATGTTTAAAATTGCAATACCATAATTCCGTAATATTCTAGTATACCCAATTACCATGTCTGGATATACAGGTTTAATTGGTAATAAAATAAAAAACAAATCCTTTAATATTTATTTCAGGTTACATGTCGCAAAAATATAAATGTTTATAAATGAAACACGCGTAAATTAGAAATGATATATTTGCAACATTTTTAGGCTTACCAACGACAGGTCAATCTCCCATTAATTTAGACGACAGTTTAGTAAGAACACGAAGATATCCACCCCTTGTTTTGAATGGCCATTGGTTAAACGATGGAGAAGCACGTTTGTTCAATTCTGGTAATACAGGTAATTTGCAAGATACTTGATCGCTAAATAGAAGTTTCAACCGTGAACTTTGAACTATTACAACTGGATTCAGAACAAACTTCACGAAAATCCAACATGTTTATTCCAAACTTTCCAACATTCTTTAACAGCCAAAGTATTTTTGAGCGGAGACAGAATTCCGTCGACAATTTGTGGCGGACCACTTGCCGACGACGTGTACGAATTGACAGAGGTGCATTTTCACTGGGGCAAAGATGATTGCAGGGGCGCTGAGCACACGATCAACGACACTTGGTAAATAAAAAAACAGAAATAAGTTCGTTCATGGAATTATAGAATTTTGATATCATCAAAGGTACTCAATGGAAGGCCACGCGTTACATTGGAACAGAAAATACTCAACTACCGAAGAATGTTTCAGACATAAAGACGGTTTCTGCATTTTGGCATACCTGTTTTTAGTATGGACTTCTTATCTCGCGTGTATCCTTACAGTTTAATTTCGTTTACGTATTTTCTATTTGAAAGTTCAAATTTTGCTTAATTTCATGAAAGGTGCAACCAGGTTGTTGTGATTGCATTAATCCACAACTGGAGAGGATAACGGACTATTTGAAAGACGTTGCAGACGCGAATATGGAAACGAAAGTACCACCTAGTGAGTATCGAGAATTTTGGGAATGTTTTCAGCGATAAGACAAATTTTAGAAATTATATTGTAATTTCGGCTCGATTTACTTTTATTTTCAATAACGATATCGATGCTTGTTGCGAAAACCGATAATTGTCCCTCTTTTTGAGTCAGACCATTTAAGGAATCTACTCGGGATAGGGGACTCAGGTAGTGCTCGGAAGGTAGACTATTAACGCACAACAGTTTGCTATTAAAACTATGTATTTGTGAATGAACGTGAACAGAGCGCGAAATGCCTAAGCTTACCGATCGGAAAATTGTGTGTCGAGTCGTGTGGTGTTCGCTATTTTATAAACTGCGTGTGTGCTGTGATTGGTGGTGCGAAGCTGTCGTAGGTGGTGGAAGTGTGCCGTGATTGGTTTTCTCGGTGTGTTTGGGGTGTGTCTGGTGGTGGTGTGAAAGTGGGGAATTTGTTCTTACATTTGTTCTATTGCTTGTTAGAGAGGCGTCGAGTTTTTGGGTGTCGTAAAGTATTTTTCGTGCCGGCTAAGACCTCGCTGGTCTATCGGGAATACCGATGTATACAGGGTGTCCCGTAACTCCTCGAACACCCGGAAATGGGGGTTGCTGGCGTGACTCTGAACAACTTTTTTCTTTACCAAAATGTTGGTTGAAGCTTCGTTTTTGAATTATTAACGAAAAACACTGGCCAATCAGAGCGCGCGTAGAGTCCGCGCTCAGTGACGGGAGCGCAGCGACTCATCCGCGCGCGATCATGAACAAACGCTATTTTTATAAGGCTTAGAGAAATGGTTTGTTGCTGTCATTCCGGTGCAAAGTCAAATTTTTGTGACAGAGACCGATAACCCAGAAGTCACGCGTACGCGTTTGTTCACGATCGCGCGCGGATGAGTCTCTGCGCTCCCGTGCCTGGACGCGGGCTCTACGCGCGCTCTGATTGGCCAGTGTTTTTCGTTAATAATTCAAAAACGAAGCTTCAACCAACATTTTGGTAAAGGAAAAAGTTGTTCAGAGTCACCCCACCAACCCCCCATTTCCAGGTGTTCGAGGAGTTACGAGACACCCTGTATATGTGTTATAACCTAAGCGACGTCTGTTACGCAATATAAAGAGAATAAAATTATGTCAGTAGGTACTTCATATAAATAACGAAAGTAACTTCCTAAACATGTCTTAATATTTAAAAATAAAATACGCAGTTTTTAAATTCCTTTGTTGCATTTAGTGAAAATGAAAATTGGAGAACAATTATGAACGATTAATGCAGAAAGCAAATTAAATCGTCAAAGGGTATTACATGTCTTATTGATCGAATATATTCATTAATACAAAGCATCCTTAATATCATTTTATTAATAATACATTTCAACATCGTTTTAATATTTCAGTTAAACAAATACTTCATCGCTTCGAACCAATTTAAATAATTGTTTAATTTTCAATCGAAAATTTTTATTATTTTTTTTTTAGCATTACACAAAGAACAAACTATCGTTTTCACATTAATTTCAGATTGTCTATCCTGGATGCGCTGGGCGACATATTGTACCAGATATTACACTTACGCAGGATCGTACAACGCCGGTGAATATCCAGAATGCGCCACTTGGATTGTATTTCCCGTAGTTATACCAATTCGGTCCAGTCAAGTAAGATTCGATAATATTACACTAACAAATATACGAACCAAGCTAACTAAGAACAATCCACAGATCAATGAATTTCGAAAGTTGAGAAATAAGGATGGCTACAACATAGAGTCAAATTGGCGGGAAACGCAATTACTAAAATGTAGACAAATATATTTAGCAGTGAACTATTAGTATTCTCCGAGTAGAATTTTCAAGTCAGATTTCTGTCAGTTTTTCTGTAACACGTCGAACATAATATATACAGTGCTGGTAATTCAGTGTGATTGTTTTATTAATTAACTAAAGTACACAAGAAGGTCCGTTCATCCTTTATAAGACTATGAAAAAGTGTCTTTGATAAAATTACTTAATTTAAAGGGACGTGCATTTTAACTGATAATTAGTAGAACACCTTTCTCAAGCTAATTTCTTTTCTTTTCAGATTTCAATCTCATGTAAATTTATAATCTACTATATTAAATTAAATGAAATTTATTTTTAGTTTAGCAATAACTTTAAAAATACATAATTATTAAGAGCTTAAAAGTACCGTAAATCAAGTATTTTACATTAAGTACTTTCCTAACGATCTTCAAATTAATCCTCTTTGCCACATCACTTATCAGGTTCGTTCAAATTATTAAACGACTCGATCGTTGCGAAAACACGTACCACAGTTACTCCCAAAAGATTATATATCCGTTGGAAAAATATCTCTTTATACGCTTGATCATCTGTCACAGAAACAGAAGTCTCACGAATTTCCTCAACCTGATTACGTTGCAATCGGGAACTCAGACAGCTGATACGTTTGACACGCGAAGCGTTACTTCTCTCGATCATCGACTCCGTGGAATTGTCTTCTGAAGCTGTCCCAGAAGTTTCCTTACATTCCTTCCCAAAACAACCACTTCTCGCAAATTCACTTTCCATTTCAAACAGATTAAAAAACGAACAGAGAAAATTATACACCGCCTCGTGTTTGTCGAATGGAACAAACCTGTACAAAGTAGGTTTCAAACATTCCTTGTACAGCTCGCTAAACTGCGACAACAAATTTCCATGCTTTCTATCCTCCAGTAAAATTTCTCGAAGGTCCATCAACGACATATTCCAGCGACGTTCCGTTTGATTCGTCACGGCGTAGTAAATATTGTGAAATTCCATCAAAACACTCGGACTGTAGAAGCACAGTGGATTTTTCAAGGTAAAAATCTCCGACTCGAAGAATAAGCTACCATAAGCAGGTTGTGGATACTCGAAGGAGCCAACTTTCTCCATAATATCCTCCATAATTTCTCTCGCGACAGTTTGTCCAACACAACCATCTAAATATCTGTCGACAATTCTCACGCTGTTAAACTTCGCCGCCGTTCGAACGTTCACCGTCTCAGCGCAGCCCCAGAGTCGAAATATCAACGGCGAGGAACACAACACCGGACTAGTTATCAATTTCCAATATTCGGTAGAGACACCTGAATTTCGTGATTTAAACCAGATCTGCAATCTGACAAACTGCCCTGGAAGAATCACTCCCTTCGTTTTGTTAAAGAAAAACGGGCTCGCTCGTCTCTTCAGGGGAATAAACTTAGACTGACACTCAGTGTCCCGCCAATGATAAATGATAACACGATTTCCCTTATTCTCCAACACAATTTCCTTCTCCGTCCTTCTATTGATTCTACCAGCGAAAGTGAAACTCCAAGTAATTGGATCAGCTTTTGCATGCTCGTCTCTGGAATCAGGTCTTTCCCAAACGATCTCACGATCCTGGATCTTCAGCACAATCGCCTGTTCGGGATAACCGTCGCGGCAAGATTCCTCTTCTGGTTCGTTTTCCACGCCGGAAACTGTTATCGGAGGAATTCTTCTCAGCGTTTCTTTCTTTGGTATAGTACGATTCTTAATTGCCAAATCCTTCGTGTCTGGTTCTTTAGCTAGGAGTCTCTCTATTTCCTTCGACAGCTCTCCTTTTCGTTTCGCCAAGTACTGACTTCGTTTCCATAACGGTTCCTTCGAGCGTAGACCAGACAGGCTCTTCTCTTTCTCTATTAATTCGGGCAAATCGACGTGCGTTAATTCTGGCGTTACATTCAGCTCCTTTTTGCTTGGCGTGAATGCGATGTCTGGTAGACAGGAATTTCGTTTCGGCAGTGTTTCCGGTGTTCTCCAAAATTCTGGTCCACCTCGATGTTTGTCTGGGACAATCGGCACTGGCGCAGTCGCGTAATCCATCAGATTTCTCATTTCTACCTGCGCTCGAACTCTTTCGCAAGAGGTCAGAATTTGATCGTTTTGGTGACGATTCGTGGTGGCTTTGATACGTTCGTATTGGTTTTCGTGTCTTTTTAACCACGTTTTCCAATTTAGCAAACGACGATCTTCGGGGTAAACTGTATCTGGACTGATCAGGCCATCGTGCGAGGATGCAGACGGTGTAAATTGTTTCACCCATTTTTTCGGCTTGTCCGATTTACCGATTTTTCGCGCGTAATCCATGTGCTAACGAAGGGTCTGCTTACAGCATGAATTATGTGTATGTCATCTGGTAAAAGCAGTTTAACCTGAATTTAGCGGGAAAGTTGTACTATCGATTGCAGAAGAATCAAAGTTAATATTCGTTTATGCTGTTAACGTTGTTTAAAACAGAGATGAGCTCGGTAGGTAAGTAAAGGTTTGATATTTTCTACGTAAATTAATCTATAGGAAAAAGCGTTTCTCTCGAAACCGCATTGTTAAAAATTGCGCTAACAGTGTTTGAAAAATTAGTCAACTAATTTTCATCAAATTTGACATAACTGTTCTGCATTGAATTATGCAGTTTTTGTGGTAGATTTCTTCTACACCTGTGATAGTTTGTAAAAGAGCGTGATTTCAGTGAGACAATTACGATTTGAATTTCAAATCACTGTTTGTTCAAAGAAAATTAATATCCTTAGAAAGACAACGACTAAATTTGCTCATCTATTCAAAAAATAAATATTTAATTGCTTTATTCTGCTTTACTCGAAGAATACAGGATTTATTTAAATATTTGTATTATTATTGTTATTTGTTGAATTTTAAAGCAGCGTATTTTTGGGTCCTATGGGTATATATATATAATTGTGTAATGATTAATCCTGTTCATTTTTTATGACCCCGACATATTCCATCAGAAATTCACGAAACTGTCGCACAGAACGTCGAGTTAATTAGAAATTTAGGTAATACCGACGGTCTATTGGAGACTCCGATTAATTTGGATATCAGTTACATGAAAGTGATTGAGTTAGGTCCTTTGGAATGGACTAATATTGACATAGTGCCGAGAAAATTAAAAATTACCAACACAGGTTACACAGGTAATACTTTTTACAATTGTTTACCTTTCTAAAATCAATTAATGATCAATCGTATTGCTTATTAGTAATCCTCAGCGCGAAATGGCAACAAGAAAATCATTATATCTCCGGCGGACCGTTCACGGGAAATTATGCATTCTCGCATATTCATTTTCATTGGGGAGAAAATGAAATGAATGGCAGCGAGCACGCCGTTGATGGTGCAAGGTTTGTAATTTATTTTAAGCCCTTTAAATATCTCGCTGTGCGACGAAAATATGAAAAACGTTAAATTAATCGATATTTATTAATCAGAAAATTTCATTCTCTCGAATAAATTTCCTGTCAAAATTGAGTTCCAAATGAATTCCAATTTAAACTCCCAAATCTGAAGTCGTAAAGTATTTTATTGGAATTTAATGAAACATAAGAATAATTCTATCACCGTTTCAATTTTTATTTGAAAAAAGTACAACGTTCGCAAATAATATTCTTTAATATTTCAACAGCGATCGTCTAATTTATTTAAACAAAAAATGATAATAAGTATCAAAATTTTGTAATATATTCATTTAAACAAGAAATGACAATAATTACTAAATTTTGCTGTATATTCATAGTTTTGTTTACACGTCAATTTTAACGATTAACTTTTTTTCACAGTATGCCTATGGAACTCCACGCTGTGTATTTCAAGGATGAGTACGAAACATTAGAATCAGCGCTTCGTCGACCTAATGGCATTACCATTTTAGTGTATTTTTTCAAGGTGACAAATTGAAATATCGACTGAAGTAAAACTTCGAAATTAATCACTTTATCGTATATTTATTTAGTTACAAGCTGGACCAAATCAATTCCTCGAGGAGATTATAAAAAACTTAGCTGTTATTCGTACAGCTCATTCTTCGGTTCGCATAGTCCCTTTAAACTTATCCAACATTCTAAGACCCTTCACGCAAGATTATTTCCTGTATTGGGGCTCGATAATAACAATACGGAACGTATATAGTATTCTCTGGATAACCAGCAGAGAACCAATTGGAATTTCCACTGAACAAGTAAATTATATGAACTTTTATAATCTACACATTTTAAACTACATTATATAATCCATATAGTACTTAGACTTCTTTATCGCATAACATAACCTAAAAGAAAAAAATTCAGTTAAGGTTATCGTTGCATTCTATCACAGACGACGTACAGAATAGACCAAACACCTAATTTACTTTTCTGTCCAACGTTCTGAAATACCACGATCGTGTAAAAAATCAGAGATTTTGTTATACTATCTACGATATAGAACGGTGAATTTAGGATTTATATACGATGGTAGATGGTAAAGTCGACAGATGCAAAAGATCCTCTTTTGTTAAATGACCGCAACTGTGTAATAGAGTAAACTGCGATCTTTCAATATGGCAGCCGGTTTGCTCGTATTATTTGCTATACAATTGTAATTATATACCAAGTAATATCGATTGCCCGGGCCTCACCACGTGAAGGTTGCTGCGAATGGAGGTTCGTCCTATCCATACGTCCCATCCACCCTCCTTTTACGCGATTGCTATTGTTTTTCTACTCGTCAATGCAACACAACACTTCCTACCGATCGTACATTTGCAATGCGCTCGAATTTTCGATCGTTATGCAGACGGACAATAGGAGACTGAAAAAATTTTAATGAAAAAAAAAGTCGACGAGAAAGAAAGGAAACAAAAACGTTAAAAGTATCCTATTAATTTAAACTTAAAGTACTTTAGGTTTAGCTTAAACTTATCTTACACCTAGCTTACAGTATAACTTCATTGACACTTGACTTAAACTAGGAGTTAACCTAAAACAGACTTAAACTAGGACTGATGATAGCCTTAACTCTATACGAGATATTAATTTGCGCATGTATCATTACTCTGTATTTATATCACTACGCAAGAATATGTGAAGTAGAGAATCTGACTCGTGAAATGTTCGAAACGCAAAAGAAAATATAAACAAATACGTCCCACAGAAAAAACACGTCAACTCAAGGGATTGACTACACCCGGCTATCTCATGAAAACATCAGGCGTTTCCGTTCAAAATTATTTACAGATAGCTAACGAATGGAAAAAAAATTACAATGTTTACAAACTGAGAGAGCTACCGTCTTAAATAACATGTAACTCGAGCACTGAAATTTTAAGAAAAACTTGCCTACTTAAATGTACAAATCTTAAATATTATCCTGCTTAAGTGAAATTCTTACTTAACTTAGAGATTGATTAACTAAATTTATAAGAATACCTTCTTGTCGAGCACGTGGTGGATACGTCTGCCACGTACAACGTCCAAAAGTAACTGACGAATCCACAAGTGTGGTTGCTAGGAGACTGGATGTGGGAGTGGGGGTAACCCCACTACCAACCCACTTAATCGAAAATTTCGAAATATATAATATTCTGGCGTTAATTATACTTTAATCCCATTTCACTTTCCTTGATAATAAACGAATAAACTAACACAATTAATGTCCACTTTGTAATTTGCTAATTTGATCATTGTTAGAATACCTGTTCATTTGAAAGTGAAACTATCGCTAGTTACTCTCGAGAGTCAAATTTATTACTGTCTAAGGTATTGAGAGTACTAGCAGAGAACTCGACACACAATTTGAGAGTACTCTCGAGAGCAACTATTTAATTGCGCAGTAGTCACTTTTAATTTTTAAAAGATCTCTATTGTTACACGAAACATCTTGTTCAAAGTGTATGGCAATGGAAGTTTCGAAGAGACGTTCAGTATTTCAGTAGTTGTAAAATGCCTACCTTTGCTGTTAAGAAATCGGCAATCCAATCGACATGAAACACCAAATTGCAGAATAAATCAACGACATACACATCTCAATTTCACTTATATTCACTTTAAACTTACAAAAACACAATTGCTTTCAACATAAACGTTCGTTTTGCACATAATTCTCGCTGCGTTTAAGAACGGTGGTCGGAAGCGTTCGGCAACGCTCGGGACTATTCGGTCAGCGGTTCCCTTTTCGGGTCTCCTGGATACGAAACATTCCAAGTCAAATTGAATACTTTCTGAGACTGTGTCGTAGACTGTTTTCAAACTCAGCACAATTATTGGCATATTAAACGTTGAACTGTTAAAAAATTGAGTCAAATTTCTGGTTACCTAACAAGGAAACATCTCAAAGTGATAATTGACATCGTGCGTCATTTCACATAAAATCATGGGTATTTTAAATTTGACGTAGATAGGGAAGAAAATGATACGTCAAACAACAGACGAGAAAATTTTAATTCCAACCACTACTAATGTTGCAATCTTATTCTATGCTGCATCGGTAACGTTGGAAGCGACACGAAAATGGTAAGATGTTAGTTCTACCCTGTACGTCGTCTGTGGTTCTTTTCCAACATAATTCTATCGATTTTCGTACATATTTTTATTTGAAAAGGTTGCAGAATTTCGCACTTTGAACGATGAAAAAGAGGCGCCAATACTATCGAACATTCGCCCACTGAAAGAAAAGCAGGAAAGAAACATCTTTCACGTTTGTCCATCGGGTACAACGTACGCTTCACTTTTACCAATTCCACGAGATCTACCATCCAATCAAACAGATCGATCTAATAACATTAAAAATGTTGGTAATACTGTATAAAATAATCAATGTTTACCAGTTTTCTTAAAAAAAATTCCTACTGTTAATCTAACCTGTAAATTGTGCATTAGGAAATACTCCAGATGCATAAGCAACGTTAACAACGAATTCTATGAATAAATGTTTATTTTTGTAACTATTTGCAAGTAACATAACTTAAAGAAAAATGAAAATAGAGAAAATAACGAAGGAAATTATTTTCTACGTCTTCTACGTCTCTTAACCCTTTCCTTCTTAAGATCGCAATCAGGATACAAAGATGCACAGTTTGCTCCACCCAGACCGAGGATAGAAGCTTTTACAGAATCCAGTATTGCCGACCATGGAGATCCTTTTAGCACTCTGCCGGATATCCAGCTCATTCCTAAACTGAAAAGATTCTATGGTCATTTTTCAAAATGTGTTTCAATACAACATTTATTAAAAATAAAATAGTGTAAATTGCGTATAAAAATTTCTAATCGGACAAAATTTAATATACAGTATCGACTCGCCAATTTCAGCTGTCGAAAAAATCGAAATTGCATTTGTTCCAACCTAATATCATCAAACGTTAATTGACTTTTTTCGTATTTTACCTCCAAACTGGTATCCAAATTTTTCGCGCATCTTTAGTTCGCGTGGAAAATTGATTATTTTCGCAAAGAATTCTTCGGATACAGTTTCCAGAGTCCATGTCAGCGACAAGAGCAGCTTCGATAGTTCTTAAAACACTGTAAGATAGTTCGTTCAAATCTTCGTTGCTGTCGTATGAGAAAGGTAAACCCCCGACGTTTCTTCTGCGACGTTTCGCTGCAGTTGCCATTGTTGCCATAGTTGTATTCATGTTAGTCTACGTAAAGAAAAATGTAAATTGACATTTGATATTACGTTTTGTTATAAATGTTCTCGATTGAAATAGTATACCGTAGCGTTCATCAATAATTGTATAATAAATAATCCAAAAGCCAAGAACGCTAGAGCTGTGAGTGCAATTTCGAAGAAATCTTTTATCGAAAGTTCATTTCCTTTCCCTTTGTAGTAGGGTTTGTGATACTCCTCCTCGTGCTCGTGATAAACAGGAGCTGTGTAATAGTATTCCTCGTGTATAGCGGGAAATGATTCCGTGTGATGCAGGAAATGATCGTGACCAGGGTGACCATAATGAAAATTGTGTCCCGAGGACGATGAGAGCATGTGATCTGTTCAGTGAAAGAATAATACTCTTTTTTAAATATTTTCAAGCATAATTACCTGATAATCACGAATTTTATGAAACTTTGGTACATAGTATAATTTATAATTCCATAACCTAACCTAACCTAACATAACCTCAAAGTTAAAAGGTGGCGAATATATTTAGTCTAATAACTCGAAAATTATTAGAGATAGAGAAATAGTGTAAATTGACGAATCTTCTATTTTTCAAGGACAAAATTTGAGAAATAGAAAATAATAAATAATTTTGCCCAAATTTCTTTATTAACCTCATTTTTTAAGGCGATTTTTATCTCTTCAGTGTGAACGATTGTCGATATAAAAAAATACGTGTCGAATATTTTTTCGAGTACTATCATATACCAAAGGTTCATCGATATCGATGATTATTATTTTGGGGTATTCTCGTGTAAGTTTTTATTACCCTCTTCTTCGTTATGTTCGTCGAAAAAACCAACTTTGCCGGTAGGCAAAGGAGCTTGCATCGCATAACCCGTGACTTCTCCATCGAATTCGTCGAAATTTTCATCGTGAGTTCCTTGCTTTTTCTTCATCTTTTTACGGGGAGCATAGTGTCTGTATACATCGTCCAAAGTCGTTCTCCTGTATGAGAAAATATATTTTTTCTATAATAATTACATTTTCACCAAATTGAGAGATAAAGTTGGCAATTGAAATTTGAAGTTATTAAATTAAGGTGCAAATGCACAAAAAATAAAATTTAGAATTAAATTAAGGTGAAAGTACACGATGGATCACGTTTGAAATTAAATTAAAGTGGAAGTGCACCAAAAAGCGCGAATACTAGAGCTTTAGCAAATTTTCAAAGCTTCTGTAGATACTAACAAAAAAGAAAATGCCACTTGTATTTTATAGTGTCCAGTAATAATAAATTTTATTACTTACCGCTGCAACCAGTTTTTGTATTTCGAACTTCCTTCGTCGGCCAACATTTTATCGTGAATAGTAACATTATCATCGTCCATCATCTTATACAAATCACTATTTTCCACATTCAGACGTCTTTTAGTTCTTGGTGTACTCATGATTTTTACTATCTCCTCAGCCATGTAACCGTGACATAAATATTCATTCATCTTTTTTCTAATATAATTACAAAAAACATTGCAAAATGTAAATTCTCTGGATTAACATTTGGTAAATAAATTTAAAAGGAATTGATAGTTAAAGTTTGCAATTTTTCACTTCTTCATACTTAACCAAAAATTGTGTATTAATCACAAACTTACCTATGATATTCCATTTCGTTTATCGCGTTAAACATGGATCCATCTGCCACTTCATAGTCAGAAATTTTCGTTAAGTTATTAGCCGTTTGTTCATCCGCAAACAAAAAGGATCCAGGCAAAAGATCGACAGAAAGTATGTCGTTTTCATCGATGCAATATTCGGTTCCATCGTCGAAACATTTTTGTCCATAAATTGGACAAATTTTGAATAAAATCGAAATAAAAAACACCGCGAATTGAACTTTTTCAGAGGAGCACATTTTAAGCGACGACCACAGGTATCTTCACACAGGGAGAATTTTCATAGGAGTAACGACGGCATGAAGAAGACTGACAAAACGGAGACACGCTTCTGGAAACAAACCGTTCATCTGCTAGAAATAATTGCTTTAACCGTACACGTGTTTAAGTAGCGTTGACAAAGTTGCTCTCTATTCAAAACAACGGTCGTCCTCCTTAATTAATTAAACGTGTTTGAAATTGTCGAAATGTTGCACTCGTAATTAACTTAATCTCTATGGAAGAAAATGATAATATTGGAAAAATCCGAATGAAAGAAACTCATAATCGTAGAAAAATCCCAACGAAAGGAAATCATAATATTATAAAAACTTTAATGAAAGAAAATCATAATATTGCAAAACATAATGAAAGAAAAATCTCAGTGAAAGAAAAATCGTAATATTAGAAAAATCTCGATGAAAGAAAATTGTAACATTACAAAACATAATAAAAGAAAACTCTCAATAAAGAAAAAGTCATAATATCAGAAAGATCTCAATGAAAGAAAATGACAATACTAAAGAAACTCTCAATGAAAGAAAATCAAAATGGAATTCATTTTTTCAAACGATAACAATAACAGAACTGAGCATTAAAAATACGATACACGTAAAATCGTCAAGATAAATATCCCACATGCAAACAAATGGGACTTTTCCGAATGCATATTTGGCCACATGGATAATTCCACATCGACTGGTGACATTACCAGTCGTTTTACACGTAATCCGACACCTATGATTAAATACCTTTATTAAAAACCACTTACGTTGCTCTTATGAATGTTTTAGGAACGGAGGGTTTGTCGGGATGGCTTGGATGGGTCGGTGAGATGAAGTAATGGGGGCTTTGTTCCCCTGGGAACTTGCTCACCTGTCTAATATCTCGCGAGAGTGGTTATATCTGTGCCCATACCAATAGCAGCCAGTTATACATGAAGCTTATTGAAAATTAATCGCACAGTTTTAAAAGAATTTTCGTAATCTCTGTAATCTTCTACACCGTACACTGCCGTACGTAAGTGTTAGAATAGCCATTATGTTTGTGCAAAAAGTGTTATACCTGTACGATTTAAATTACATTTCCTCGCCAACGTTAGTGTCGTGTATATTAGTAAAAATATACATATGTACTTGTTATAGGTTGGTGCAAGTGAAATGTTTTTTTAATAGCTGAAATTCGCGAGTTGATACTAAAAAAATGATGTTCAGACTTTTAAAAGATTTTAGTAGATTTCAGTAGACGTCTGTGAAATTCAGTAGATTTTAGTCAAATTTAGATTCCAGCAGTCTCTGGTAGATTTCAGTAGACGTCTGTAAAATTCAGTAGATTTTAGTAGATTGCAGTAGACTTCTCTAAAATTCAGTAGACAGACGTCTGTGAAATTCAGTAGATTTCGGTAAAATTTAGATTTCAGTAGTCTTTGGTAGATTTCAGTAGACGTCTGTCAAATTCAGTAGACTTCGGTAAAATTTAGATTTCAGTAGATTTTAGTAAATTTTAGTGAAACATAAATTTCAGTAGACTTTGGTAGATTTCAGTAAACGTCTGTAAAATTTAGTAGATTTTAATCAAATTTAGATTTCAGTAGACTGTAAAATTTAGTAGATTTTAGTAAAATTTAGATTTCAGTAGAATTCAATAGATTTTCAGTCAATTTCCTTAAGTTTCAAAGGATTTCAGTAGGTAATTAGTAGAGTCCGGTAGATTTTAATAGAATTCAACAAATTTCAGTAGATTTCTGTAGGTTTCGAAAGACTTCGATAGATATTAGTAGAATACAGTAGATTTGAACAGAATTCAGCAGATTTCAGTAAATTTCAGCATGTTTCACATTCGCTAAAAGTATCTCAACACTTACACACGAGACTGTACTCCGGACATATTCGAGAAATTTTTTCATTCCGTACTAATTACTCAGCTTAATCTTAGACACGATGCAGATGGACCCGTGGCTTAGAAGTTAGCGTTAACAAGCGTCTCACGAATATTGTTTACAAGAGAGGTGTGGCAGCAACAAATTCTCTGTGTGTGAAACGTTCCACGGCAATTTGTACGCGCGTTAGTATACCCTCCTGTTCTCAGGTGTTTGATTGATCGTTTCAATTACGTGGCGCAGCGTGCATCAAACTCAAAGGTAAAGTCCGTATCGGTAGAACGATCGTCCATTCGGGTGTTTCCCTCAGTTTTTTCTAATAATCAAACAAACAGTTTCCTTAGAAAATCTGTCGACGTGTTAATTCACAATTTTCTCTACCGCTCGAATATCAATTAAACGTTACCGTTTCCTTTTTTCTTTTCTGTCTCGTGTATAGTACAATGCTTAATTATACCGAGGAAATTCGCGTGTACCGAAGTTCCGCGGTGACATTAGTCCTTCCCCCTTAAAAATAAACGACAATCTTTCTCAAATATTTTGAAAGACATTTTAAGGGTCCGTAATGGTTTCCTGGAAGAATTGTAGATACTTGTCCGTGAAATTCCGTGTGCGCTGACCATGTCGTTACTTCCTCCTTTCACACCTAACGAAAAGGCACGATGCACGGCATTTCTTTTCGCGTAATTCAATATTTGTTTTCGTCAGTTGTACGCGGCCATTTCTAAAGGACCCACAGTGAACGCGATACAATTTGTAAAAAAAAGGAGAAAGAAAGGTACACTTTTATTAGTCCTTAAATAAAAATTGCACTCCAATTCTATTTAAAATATTGCAAAGTATGTGTAATTGTTATTTTATTTTACAGAGAATTATTTCTTGATTGTACGAAGAATAATAAATTTGTGAAACAAAACAGAAAGGCACACTTTTATCGTTAAATAAAAATTGCACTCTAATGCAACGATAATTGCATTTCATTGTGAATTCTATTTAAAATATGACAAAGTGTGTGCAAATTTTATTTTACAGAAAATTCTTTCTTTATTGTACTACTTTTCTGTAGAAGTTTCTTCGAAGAATGATAAAGTAATTTTCACACTTTGTACTTATAATAGTAAAGCTACTGGACATTGTTCGAGGAAAGAATTAATGGTACGAGTCTGCGGATAGAAAGCACTCACAATCGCTATTGGTCCTTTAACAGTTGCAGTGTGAAGCTCAATGGATTTAGGATGTGTAAGGATGAACATTGAGATTGGTCTGGCTGGAAACTAATGATACCACTGCCCCTAGAAATGCTCGGAATTTCAACCCCCCGTAAACAGAAATAAATTGGTGGATGTCGTTTTGTACATGTAGAGTGTAGCTAAAATGGAGATCTGCGAACTTGAAATTATACCGTTTTAAAAAGAATCGTTTAGTTTAATTGTAACAACATTATACTTTTCGTTCTATCTCTTTTTTGGTGTCTGAAAAAATTAATTTGAACCTATTTTACAGATGTTTGTTAGTCAGTATTAATAGAGACATTTTTTAGTAAATTTCAGATATTAATAGAGACTCTTTTTAGTAAATTTCGAATATTAATAGAGACACTTTTTAGTAAATTTCAGATATTAATAGAAACACTTCTCAGTAAAATTGAGTTGTTCTTTGTGTACACAATAATTTTTCGATAATTATAAGAAATGAAAAATTTTACAAAAAAATTCGATTACAGAGTAAAGTATAATTTGCACTTTATAGATAAAACTGAAATTGCATGACAATCTTCAAAGATTTCTAATATTATACGGATTTGTTTCAATGTAAGTCAGTGTAATTTCGAACATTTCAAAAGTATCACTCTAAATTCTTCATCTTTACTCTTCGACACGATCGAGTCTCATTTTGAACATTTCAAAGGCATCACTCTCAAATCCTTCATCTTTCTTTTTCAACATGATCGAGTCTCATTTTGAACATTTCAAAACCATCCCTCTCAAATTCCTCGCCGTCTCGTTCAAAAAGCTGCCGACAATTGCAAATAACGCCGAAACACAGAAATTCCCTCTCTTTGTTTAAAATTTCCCCGGAATATTTAAACGTTCCGGTGTGAGAACCACTGTACAGAGTTTAGTAAACGCGTGAAGAAGTGTTTTGCGGTACTTTTTCACGGCATTCTCCGTATGGCAGAAGCGTTTATCCATTGCGAGAGTGTATATGGGATAGAGAAGGAACCATTAGTTTGCTGACATAAAGCCCTGAAATAGAGGGGTCGAAGAAGGCGGACACTACGGGAGAGCATGCGCCTTTCGAGCCAATCAGAATTCCGCTTTCTGATCCCTGATGAACTCTTTCTCGGTGGATGAAGTTTGTTACTGCGCATATCGTCCTATTAAACTAATGCATTCTACCTAATACCGATAGCATGTATAAAAACTTCAAATTGAACAATGTGACGACAATCATGCAACTCTAATTGAAACACCTGAAATAACGCGTCTACCTTTATCTCCGCTCGCTAACATTTTTTAACAATTAACACAAACATCTACATTCTTCTTCTTATTGCTATTGCTCACAAATTACTTCATTGATACGACCCATTATTTACCGAATTTTTTTACAGAATTTTAGAAGAAACACTGCTCACAAGAAAATCTTTATCGCTACTTTACAAACATATTATTAAAATAAAGATGACACTTGGAAATTCGAACAAAGGCGTGATTTTAAAAAAATATAATTTCTATATGATTTCGATTCAAAAATTGACGAATTTCTATATACACATAAGCTTGAAGATAATGCATTTATTCCACAAGAACTGGGCAGAGTGTCAGAGTGTTATCTTGCAGAAGAAACGAAGAACGAACTTAGTATCTTCGAAATGTAAATTAAAATATGAACGACGAGAAATGAGGCATCCGAGAATACTTAGAATAGTAAGCATCCTATCGATTTATCGCAGCATATGATGGTAAAGCAACGTTAAACCAGTGTGAATAAGCTTTTGACCCCTACTCCGATCAGGTAACAGAAACGAGTGGGGGCACCTGGCGCAAGATGTTCTTCTAGCATCGCGGGATGACCTTCCCTCAAGAACTGATAGTGGGGAGGCTGGGAGGTTCTTCTGGACCACAGACACGTGCCACCTGTCATACATTTCGAAGTACTTGCTTTCGGAAGGTTGAAAAGGAGATTAGTTGTAGATTAGATTTGAAACCAAGTCCGAAGACAAACGAACTTAATGAACTTACGTGATTCGATAGATCCTTTAATCGAACGTTCAACGATAGACTATTACAAAATTCTTGTTACTGTTGTTGTGTTAAAAAGTGATGAGAAATGGACGGATTGGTACGTAAAATTCGACGAGTCGTGTTTCAAACGAGAAGAACGTAGGATGTGTGCAATACAAGATAATTCTGGGGAGTAACCGTGAGATGCAAGGTACAGGCGAAACAGGCGTTGATTAAGTATCTGCAAAAGTGTGTACGAAAATCGAGTGAAATTTG